AAAGTACTAGCCGAATTCAGCGAAATGGAAATGAATAAAGGAAACAATAAAAAACCCTGAACACTAAATGTTTTAATAATTGTGACTTTTTTCGTAGTATTTCATTAAAGATTTTACTACTGCTCAACAGTTTTGATATCGATTTGACTATCATTGTTCTTAGTTTGCTTGTAGTGTAGTTATACATTCTTCTTTCACATAAATATTGTGGAGTGTATTTTTTTTTTTTCGAAACTTGATCTTGATTTCAGTTTCATTTGTCTAATGATTCTTCTTATGGTCTCATGTAATGTAGTGTTTTTTAAATAAAAATAAATGAATATTTACAAATGTTCATTGAATATATACCAATTTAGATGTGGGTGTGAGTCTGAGAGTATGAATATTCTTTTCATCCCCATCCCGACATACACCTACACTCGAATTCATAAACTGATCAGTTTTAAAAATTTTATTTTACTATTTTCGACTTTTAATAGCTTCTGAGAACTCAATCATCGTCGAATCAGATTGGTCTGGATCCAATTTCTAAGTCACTGAATATATGCATAGATTTTTTCAAGGAATCTACGAAGTAAAATAGAAGCACGGTGTTGAATGGATCATTTTAAATGAAGGTTCGAGTAAGAAAACTGCTATTCTGAATATCAGGAAACTCAATTCAATTCATCTAAACGATTTTCTATTGCCTTTGAGCTTTATACTGAAGGTTACTACTCGTTTCCAAATCATGTCAAGAATGTTTAATTGAAAAATTCTGAAACTTTAACAGTCAATGGCCTTGAAACTTCGCCAATATGAAATTACATTAAACGTGAATTAAAAATTTTCATCGCCTACGTGATGAGCTTTTGTTCCTCTGTGTCGTGGCCATAAGTTTCATACATCTTTCCAGATATTTTTTTTTTGGAACCACACCTGCTAGAACTCGTGTTACTGCATTAAGAGCTCGAGCCGATGGTGAAGCAACATATTCATCGTGTCAAACAATATTATCTCATCCTCCAAATTTTCAATCTCTTGATTTGCATTTCAGCACAAAATAGACTTTTTCTCTTCATGTCTTGTTTAGTTGCAAAATCACATGGAATAAATTAGACTAGATTAGGTTTTTCTGTTATTTGATCGATAAAATCGATGCGCAAAGCAGCTCGTAAAACTAAACAAATTGAAAAGTTGATGCACATGTTAGAGTCTAAAACAAAATCATTAGATAATACAATCAAGCCCTTTGCTCGTCGTGTCGATGAGCCTATTTTTCGTATAGAAAAAGCAAGGAAGAACAAGAATAATGTTTCTAAATCAGACTCATCCTCATATGAACATTAGATTATTTTTTCTTTTTCCTAATAATCTCGCTTTTTTTGTCAAAACATGACCCCTTTATATTCGAATACACCGTAAATGTATACTATGATATATATACGAGTGAGTTGCAACGTTTTGGTACAATTGATGCGAAAAACTGAAAGTCGTCCTAAGCACTTTTTAAGCAATGCATTTTAGTACATTCTATGACTATGTAAAACAGCACAATTTTTCCAACACTTTACTACATATTAGCTGAGATACGACTTACTTCAATGTAAATGTACCATAAAAATCGTTAATTTCATGAAAAGTGTTCTTTTACATTGCATCATATTTTGTAAAATTCTCCATAACAGAAAAAGATACAAAGCGGAATTTTTAATTGATCATACAATTCTAAGAAATGTAATTTCAGTAAAAATTTGATCGAAAACCAACAAGCCTTTTGCGAGCTATTAACAAAGTAACTTTCAAGAAGTCGTTCTACAAAGTGAGTTAAACTCGAATTTTTAGGAAATAATCGACTTTTTTTACCGAAAAGGAAAATCATTCAAAAGGATATTTTTTATCATTTTGTTCGCATTTCAATTGTCGTTCTTTTGTCTATCTTTGCGTTCCTTCGATTTTTACAGAGATGAAGCAAATTTAACGATTAAGTGGTTCTACATAAAAAATGAGAAAGCGTCTGTAACTAAGTATTGGTAGTGAATGGGTGTCAAAAGAATAGGCGAGTAACACGAAAGATATATCATTTAACAGAGCATCTCAGACTGTATAAAACTGACTATTGGTTATATTTCTTCTCTTTTCTTTTATACTTAGACAATATCCTTTTCTTACCACGTCTGCATATAAAATACGATGTTTTCAGTGTGAGACTTATAAGTCCCCGATGGTACAAGCTGGAGAGCTGAAATTTGATATGTCAGTGGGATACTCAGAGAAGAGTAACCCATAAAAATATTGTCCAACTCGGTTAACGGGCATAAAAATTATTACGCAAATACAGCTAAAACCCCAATCTTACCAAAAAGTTGCCATTCACTTATACATATATATAACGAAATCAAATGTAACAATAACAAACAAACAAATAAACAAAACAAGAAAAAATATGAACGAATGAAAAATGTGGATAAACAAAGTCATCTTAACCTTCTGAATGAATGGCATAAACATAAAATTAATAAAAATATATATATTTAATTGTTCAAAAATCGATAAGATTTTCTAATTCTTCTTTTATAACATCAAAAGTCGATGAGTCAGTTAAGGTTTTTATTTTATGTAATATTATTGAATAAGTTGTATATTTCCGTTGAATTTCTTCCCAAAATTGTAATGCTGCATCTATTTTTTTGATAGGAGGTGATAAGCTGTGAATTGATTGAATCTTCTGGTGGACATAAAAATCATTCATATACAATATAAGATTTAATGCACACTCTAAATCAAAGGTTTGCTTATAATCATAACAAATTGGAAATGAGAAGCGCCGTGCGTATTGCAAAACAGAAATTAAAAATTCACAGCTAGCCAGTGTAAGTGCACCTGCTATTGGTGTCTTTTCCGCTTGATAAGTAATAGCAAAACCAAAATCAATTAATTTTAAATGATTATTATTACTATCAAACATCAAATTTTCTCGACGTATATCACGATGAATAATATTACAATCATACAAATAATGAAGTATATCAATAAGTTGTTTCGATTCGTTTAATGATAATGAATCTATATGTTGTAATTTATTTTTAAATAATAGAAATTTACCTAAATATAAAAATAAGAGAATTATATATTATTTTAATGATCGAGAAATAGAGATATTCGACAACAAAATCTTTTCATTGCAGATTCATACTCATCTAAATATATGTATAACTGAGATTGAATTTTTAAATAATTAATTTTCCAAAGTCTTCTTTTTATCAGCTACAACTATCTAAGTCATAACCTACCAATGAAAAATGTATCTTCATTAGTCTTAGAGTTTTACGATAGTTAACATGGTGGAAATAATTTTAAGAGACTCTTTTCTTTTTCATAGAACTCAGCCATGTTTATAAATAGAGATCTTACATTTCAAAGTTAGAAAGATCACGCCAGAGGCTATGCTATCTGAAAAAAAGACGCTGTCAAGATCATATGTATTTGTCAAATTATATTGAAAACAATTTTGTTCGAGCGGAGATTATTGTAAGATACTTTATATTTTGATTTTATGGAAAAAAATCTAAATCATTCACTAATCGATATAGAATTTCGTGATTTCGAATTTGACAAAAAAAGAAGTTTCAATCTGCCATGAAACTATAGTTTTGAACTTTGATTTTTACCAGTTATAATCAATGACTGTAACAAAAAGTAAGAAGAGTTTAGATGTGGGTTAACTGGAGTTTTCCGAATAAAGAAATATATCCACACTTACATCCTTTCTCTTTACGAAAAAAAATCTATACACTTGATTCAAAACAAAAGTTGAGTCTTTTTTTTTGATCGAGTTTAAACTTGATGTTATGCAATCATTAATCGACATTAAAAATGTTTTTTATTCGAAATTAGTAATATTTTTTTTGTTTAATTAAAGTCAAACTTTGTTTTTGATGATTACAACACTTAATATCCATATAGAAACAAAATATTTTTTTGTCAAATAACTTTATGAAAATCATAGTATATCACCGAAATTTGTATGCATTCTCCATTATCATAAGAATTCTGGTGAAAAAAAAAGCATCTTTTCTCTATTTCATTCATAGTAACAAAAAAAAAACTTTTTTAAAATTTATTATGATGAATTATCAAATTTATTTAGTATATCATCATTCCTTTTATTTGAGTGAATCACAAAAAGCAAAATCTGATTCAGATTAGATTCTATAATGTTTAATCGAATGAAATAACTCGCACGATAATGTTGTAATTGCACTAGTGGCATATTGATTATAGGCATTATTTTTTTTATTGAATTTTCACTTATTAAATTTGAAATAATAATTCTTTTCTTTTATTTCAATCTTTTTTCTTTATTCCAACATTTTATCAGGTATCATTTTCCTTATTTCATATTTCGTTTCAATCTATAGTATGTACTTTTCTCTATAAAAAGAAACTTACTTCAATTTCAAATTAAAATCTTACGGGTAATCTAATCGTTTCAAGTCTTATGTTTATCTACATAAAAATAAATAAATATATATATATATGTTTAATTGATATTTTTCCTCTAACGCGCTATAATATTTAAGAAAGATATTATTTCATTAGAAATATTTTTCCCAGAAAAACTCTTCGAGTCATTCATCTATAATAATCAGTTTTTTTTCTAAACTTGATGCAGCCATATTCTACTGAACGATAGATTTCAATCTTATTTTATTTTTTTGTCTTTGCATTTTTCTTCATTCTAGAAAAAAAAATGCTTACTTTTGCTCATAGGTTTTATAGAGATGGAAAAATTTAAGAATAAATCCATATACAAATGTTACCTGTAAGTGACGAATATAGAATATCTTCAAAAAATAAATTGAATTTATTTGAATTATTGATTTGTTTTAATTGTTGTATTATTTTAAGTTCATTTGACAACATTTTTGAATATGAATGTTCTCTAAAAATTTTCATAACACAGTGTTGAAAATCGTCATTTGAATAATTATCTTCATTTTTTTCTAACAGAAAAACCATTGCAGTTGCGCCTATTCCTAATTTTCTTCTAATATTATATCTATTACTAAGTAAATCATCAAGTGGATTTATATTCAATTGTGTATATTCATAAAAATTGGCATTCATTGTTAAAAACTTCGTAAATATATTCCATGTATCTTTATTAACATATGCTTGTCTCAATTGTTCAGTTGTTGTTATCGTATCAATAGATAATGCTGTTGCAGGTAAATAATTAAACATTTCTAAATCTTGACTTTTATAATAATTTATCGTATGATCGAATTTTTCCGCTTCAATGTAAAAAAATGTAATATGTGTAAAATTAGTTAAAAAACCATAGATTCTTTCACGTTGTTGTAAATTTAATAGCATTCGTAAATGTTGTAATGTTTGTCCAATCACTGATTTATCTGTTAAAGAAACTTGTGGTGAATTCACTTCACCAAGACAAATAACAAAATCTTGTAAACATGAATGTTTTGTTTTAATGTTGATATTAATATTTTTATATACAAAGGTACAATCAGGATGATATTTTTCTTTTAAATAACATAATTTAGATGTACTTATATATTTCAATGATGTAGAATGATTAAATATTTGTAATAAATTAATTATTAAATTATCAAATTCTGATTGAATTTGTTCTTCACTTATTTCAGAATATGATGAAAAATGATTCAAATAGTTTTCAACATAATTTATAATTTTATCATTACAATAATTATTATTTTCTAACAGATCGTTAATATCGAATGAATAAATCTTACCATCTACATTGAACTTATAAAAATCAAGATAACTTGATAATGAACTTGAACTTGTATCATTAGATGATGAAGAATGTTCATTTTCTATTTTTATTCGTTTGATTGGTTCCATTGAAAGCATTGCTTTTCTTTTTTCCCGTATTTGTTTCAATTCTTCTTCCATTTGTTTCGTTTTTTCTTGCTCAAGAAGTGCAATCCGGCGTAAAATACGTAGTTTTCGATTTTCATTAAGTAAACATTGTTCTAGAGTACTAAATTGTTTTGGTATTTTAGCTTCAATCAATAGCTGTCGTTCTTGAATAAGTAGTTGTTCGAGAAAAAGTAAAACCTGCTCTGGATTATTTGATTGTTTTATTTTTTCTTCTTCAATAAGTGATTTGAGGTTGGATAGTTCTAGAGTTTCTTGGTGATCGTCACTTGTGGCCATTTTTGTGTATGTTCTTCTTTCTTTATTTAGCTAGAAAAAAAATAATTCTATTCAATGATATAATCTAAATGAATATTCTAGTTTTTTCAAAATTATTATATATATATATATGTTATGGCCGAAGTTAGAATGCAGTCTAATTCAGAATTCGTCTAGTCGAAAGTGGAATTCTAATATCGACTAGACGAAATTGGAATAATTTTTCAATGAATAGAAAAAGGTAAAGAAAAACAAATAATTATGGTACCAACAATTTTTTTTTATTTTACAAAACTAATATACGTGTTGTTGGAAAACACATTTTTTAAGATAATTTTCGTGTAACGAATTAATGTATCCATCTAGTTTCTCGTAAATGACCATCTCTTTATTATCAACTCCAACAATAGTTGAATTTGATGCCATTAGTTTTTTTATGATTTCAGACAAAGACAATGTTAGATATACAATAAAGACAAACGTACATTGATTAACATCATTTGTCTCTCTTTACCGTTTTCTATTCATTAAAAAATTATTCCAATTTCGTCTATAATCATTTCAATTGAAATTAGAATTCCACTTTCGACTGGACGAATTCTAACTTCGGCCATAACATATGTAGCATAATATGAACCTGTCTTTAACAAAGAATTAATCTAGCATTATCTCAATATTTCCAATCCAATGCATGCTTTCTTTAAAAGTTAATACACAAATCAAAATCGAAGATTAGCCTCCATCATGTGCATAATCACGACAAGGAAAATAATAAAGTACTGCTACGAAATAATGAATCGTATTGTCTCATAACAATATACTAGTGTTGTATTAATTTATTTACTTTTGGATATATTTTCACAATAGAAATGTTAAATCTGGTAATATTAGCCTAAAATCGCAATGTATTCAGTTGTTGAATACATAATACTACAAAGAAGAGGAAAAACATTTAAATAAATATCATCAGCAATGTATATATAAGAATGACTTCAACTCTATGAGATGTGTTGCATCTGAGAAAATGGGGCTATTGAAGAGACATTTTTTAATCTCTACGACTCCAATATCTCCTAAAAGGAAACATTTGGATATTTTGAATCTAGGACAAATTTATTTCAAATTATCGAGATTTATGTATCCTGAAAGTTTCAAATATTTTTGATCAGCCGTTTTCTAGAAACCTTGGAAAGGTTGGCAGCTCCTTAATAGTCTCTAAACAATATATTAAATAAAAAAGAAAACAGAAAGAGTAATTATTCTCTTTTTGACTTGGGAATATTTAGTTTTTAATTATTAAAACCATACTCTAAATTGTTATATTCATTGATAAATAAAAAAGTAAATAATGATAAAATAATTTTGCTGATGTAAGACATTAATTTTTGTTTTCTGAGAAAACTTATTTTATTAATATTTCAACACGTATGTGTTTTCTTCTTCTAGAAGAACTTATCATGTTACGAACATCGAACTATCATAAACAGAAATTAAATGTACACTTAAATATTCCTTCTTTTTTTTGTGTATCATTTGAAATACGATCAACAACAACAATAGATGATCATCATCTTTTTGATTTAAATAAAACAGACTTAAAATTATTCATAATAAACAGTAGACCAATAATTACTTGCTCTTATCATTTTCTGTAACAAATCAAATATGTCATGATATGAATCCTATCAATACATTCATCATTATAAAACAATCTATTAAGACTTGGTAAGAGAAATGTATATAATTTTCTTTTCTAAAATTGATTTATGAAAAATAATTCGTTTGTCTATAAAATCTAAACGAATTTGATGTCATTTGTGTTCTTTTAGTTAATTTTCGTCAAACAAATGGTAATGATTATGCACAACAAAGTGTTAATTGTTTTTCATATTTTGTTCATTTACTGCAATATAATTCAAATAGAATTTCAATCAGCATTTGATACATGTCGATGGAAAGATATTCAATATATATTACAGTAAATATTCATTATCTTTTGTTAAAAAAATATTTCACTTTTGAATATTTCTTGATGACAATCTATTTAGTAAAAATGATTTGATCGATTTATCATATATTTAAAAGAATAGGAATTTCAATTGTTTAAAAAAAAAATTCTTCTATTCTCTGTTTTAGAACATGCCCAAATCTAATTAATCTTATAATTAATATTGAATATTTACTTTTATCACAATTAATCGATACTCCAGTTCTTATTTCAATATTCATACAAATTAAAATGATTAAATCAACAAAAGAAAATATTTCTCGTCTTTTAAATTTGACATCGAAATTGAGTGAACGTTTTCTATCACTTAATCATATTGAATTTTAAGTTTTTTCATTCGATAATTGGTGTTTCTCTTATTGAAATATTTCTTACTCATCTTTAAGATTTATCGTATCTTAAAGTTCATTATAAACATGATACATGATTGAATAATCCTTTTTCACATGATTATCTCATAGAAAAACGTCATCAAACATTTCCTCATCATATTTTTGATGAACAGAAAATTGATGCTAAGGATAATGGAGAAAGTATAGAAATTTGTCTATCATGATTTTTATGAATGTATGAACTTTTCCGATTATTTGTTTTTTTTGTAAATATTATTGTTAAAATAAAGATATCTTCAGAATTATGCTTTATTTTTCTATGAATGAAGTTTAATTTTCATAAGTTATATAATTTTCAAGGTTCGACGAATAGGAAAGTAAGTTTGAGTTGATGATCGATCTAATCTATATATCATTTTCAGATGAAGAATAATAATGAGAAAAAATATGCTTTTTAACATTAAACAAATAAGTCAAGCAGTAAAGAGCTCATGAGATAACATATCCACGTGTCCAATCGCTTTTTAGTTGAGCGACGTTCATTCAATGAGCTTTAAAACGAATAATAATAGAAAAGTCAAGAGAATGATTTGGTTTTTTGACGTCATCGTTCTTGAGAGATCGGCATTTTACTGGTTTTTTTTTCAAAAAATCAAAGTTATATTCTCCCTGAAAGCGCTGAGAACATTGACTTTCGAAGTTCGGGTTCAAATTTTGCACAAACAGAGTTCGTAATCAAATTAATTAGTTGTAAAAGTCGTTTTTTTGTTTTTCTATGATTTTATTTTTTGGGAAATATAAATATATGAATAATATTTACTTTTACACATGTGAAAATATCAAATATTCAATATATTAGAATATGAGATATTAGAAAAATGAAAACTTGTCCAATAGAACAGAGTTTTTTGTTGAAAAACTCCAGTAAAATTTCAATATCTCAAAAAGAAAACCTTGAAAAATCAAACCACTCTAGATTTTTCTCTATTACTCATGAATCCTCATCGAATGAACATCGTCGTGCTCGAAAAGAGATTGAACAGCTGTAGAAATTTTCTAGTTAGATATAGACAAGATAATCTCGGATTTAGGAACATCGAGATCAAAAATGATTGGCCCCAATCATGTCTAATTGAGGTAGTGATATTGCCATTAGGTAAAAATTAAAGACTTTTAGTCATCCTTGCTCAAGTCCGACACTTTGGTAGTCGCAATCATCAACAGAAGAGAAAAGTTAGAGTTGATTTAGCCGTTAATGTTGATTAATTCATCTGCTTACAGCTCTCAATGCCATGCCATGTTGTGAAAATTGAATTCATATAACAGATAAATGTACAAAACAACAACTTTCCAAAATCAATATCAAAAACATCAAGAAAATTTCTTTGTAAAAATGGATCTCTCACTGATATCAACATCATATTGTTCTTGTTTTTGAACATGGAACTTTCATTGAATTTTTGTAACTCTATAACTGTCTAAGTTCAACAAATCTTTAAATGTAAGCTTTCAAACTCTTTGAATATTCATTTTTCAAGTGACTTATTCACACGAGACAAATTTGATTAATTTTAATATGAATGCTCTTAAAATAGTTCCACAATATAATTAAACAAAAATATTTTAGGTTGGGTGTGGGTGTTACTCTTTTCTTCACCCACATCCATACCCTTGCAAACAGTGATTGAAAAAAAGAATTGTAGTACCAATGAAGCGCACGCACAATGACATAGTATTTCTTTATAAAAGATTGATTTAGTTCAAGTATTTATTGAATGCACATCATCTAAAAATTCTGTAATTTTAAGTCCATGTAAAATTTGCCGCAACTTACTCATAAAATGATTAATTCTGCCAATCGTAACCAAATGATCTTCGAATTAGTTGCAATGGCAGATAGAAATTGTTGGTGTCAATAATAAATGAGATTTTCAACTATCAAAAAATGCTGGAAAAATTTACAAGACGAAATCTTCCTAGCCACTACGCAAAACGAAATTATCATGGAAAGGCACACGCACAATTTCTCAAGAGTATTTTTCATTTTCATTCGACTGCTAAAGATCCAAGTGTACTTGGATAGTCTCCGCCGGTTTCGAAAACTCCAAGTAAAACAACCTAATCCTAGAAGGTCTCTATATTCGTTCTGTTCATATGTATTTCATATCTGAATTAAAGACAAAGTGAAAGGTAGTTTGAGAATTACGAAAGTTTTTTGTATGAGTCATAGCAACTACATCTCATCTACATAGAAATCTCACAAGCTATCAGATAATTCATATAGATCAAATTGTGTGCAGTGAACAATTTATATTCAGCATGTTTGGAAGAGTACAAAATCATCACTGAAATGAAACTTTTCTTTTGGGAGTATAGAAACCGCTACTCGCTTCAATGAATTTCACTTCTAATTTTTCATTCTTTCTTTTTATTTTTCTTGAAAATGTTGCTCTGACAAGCTAGTGTAGCCACCAGCTTGCAGATTTTCGTCATTGCAACATGTATTTGATCTGAGTTAATCAATTATATCTTGTTAAGGTGCAATAAGCAATTTTCTTGCGGATGTACACAAAACAACGTCTCTTTTGTCTTTATACATACCACATTATGGAAAGATAAAACCTGAACTTGTAAGCAGGGCAAAAAAAATTGTATGACTCTACCAGATGTAAGCAGTTGTT